ACGCAAATCATGGTGCTCTATGTTGCGTTTAGCATGCCTAGCCACTGTCGTAAAACGAGTGGTAAGTAAGATTCTACTCTGCTTCTTGTTCTGAGGAAAAGCAATTTTGAGACCATCCCAGGCCTCTTTAGACCACACATCATCCATGAAAATTATGTACTTCTCTTCCTCCAAAACTTTACGAAGTATACTGGCTAATTCTTCATCATCCATTTTATACATGTCATCGTTGGGCGGAGTGAAATGTCTTAGTATATTGAGGAACACATCCTTTCTACTATATTCTTGAGAAACAAAAACCCATACACGATTGTAGAATTCATATTGAATGGTAGAATCACGAAATATCATTTTAGCGAGTGTTGTCTTACCAAGACCAGGCATACCAACAATTGATATAACTTCTAGTTCCTTTGATTCTCCAATGAGAAGTTTGATTACTTTTTCTGCCTCATCTTTAAAGCCCACCACGTTGTCTTCCTCTACAATGGGAGCCTATATTACAGTGAAAAGGGGTCTTATCAGAAATTGATGACTATATTCAAACGAGATGAATTGCATCTGTCAAAATCCATTAATAATATTAATTGGTGAAAATTATTTGCAAGTAGAGTTTTAAAATGCTCTGTGAAACACTTATTGGTTAGTAACGAAAAGGGGAACCTAAAATTTAAATCATATATATTAGTAAAAACTTGTATTAAACGAATGAATAATTTAAACATCAAGGGAGAAATGAATTCGGTGAGCTAAATTTTTGTTGTATATATGCGAAGTATTCTGCGTAAACAAAAATACTCATGAAATATCAGAATACATACAAGTATTACTAAACATTTATTTGTATGAAACAAGTTGTAAATTTAATTAGAATAATAATGTCGGATGTATTTTACCTCTCTCTTTTTTCTGTTTCCTGCATGTCCCTCTTCTTCTTGCTGCAGGGCCTTAACTACATACTCCTTCTTGTCGTCATGTATGTTTTTCACCTCAGTGCTGATGGACTTGATCTCTTTCCCCACACGTTGACGCATTTTGGTATGATCAAGTATATTTAAAGCCTTCTCCACTCTACCCTGGGCCTTGCGTGCAGCTGACTCAAAAACAAATCTGTCTATAATATCTTCTGCTTCATATACAACGTCTCTGATTTGGTTCATTGTAGTTTTTAAGAAATCATTCTTGTTCCGGATTTTTGCAGCATCCTTGAGTAAGGATTTGAACAAATCAAGATTGTTGTACAGCGAATTCACTTCTTCCTTAACGTCAAGAATCAGATGAGCATTGTATAAAAGCAGGTCCTTCAGATTTTGTAGCAGAAATTCTACAGAAGCTTCCGCCATATTGTGTTTTTTTCTTTTCTTTTTTTGTAAGGTGGAAAAGTTGAAATTGGTGTTACAAGAAAATGACAAAATGGTGTGAAGATGAGAAAGTTTCAATATGTGGAATTACTTTGGGAAACCTGGGCAGGGCTTTAAATACAGAAAACCTTATAATTATAGCAGAAGACAGATAAGCATTGCAATAGTTTAATTGTTAGGAATTTGGGAGTTCAACAGAAAAGTCACAGCAGAAGCCACATTTCCAAGTTCACAATATAAGCATAAAGAAACCGAAAGCATAAAGAAATCATAGAACTACAACTTTACTGAAAGGACCAGAAAGCTTCTCCCCTTTTTGGCAGAATCATCAGGCTCAGGAACAGCCCCATCCACGCCACGCAAATCGCCAACCAGAGAGAGGTGTCATCAGAGAAACCATGGGTTCGATTCCTGGTCATCGATCGAGAAAGATCTCCCAAGTTTCAACAGAGTTCTAGTCACAGATTTATGAAGGAAACCAGCACCGAATCAGCCACTATTTCAGGCCTGATCATACCCAAGATTAACCCCCTAAATCCTTAGAAGCAAACCCCCAGAAATCACCCAAGAGAAAGGAGAAGACAGAGTCTACACATTAAGGAGAGACCCAGAGGAACTGAGAGCAGAGACCAGAGAAAGAGAAAAAACTTGATGAAGACGAAGGGTCAAAACCAAGGTAATATCTCAACTAAGAATAGATGTCAACCGTCCATCTCATCCAACGATCCTAATAAAACCAAACTAGCACAATTCATGTAACAACCAAACTACCAATAGGCAAACGACACCTAAGCAGGGCAAAAATAATGTAAACAACGCAAATGATACAAATAGCACTAGTCCAAATAGAGTTAGGAGAACCACGATTCTCACATTAATGATACACGTCTTGTTTACTTATCAAATATTAAACAGGAAAAACAGAAACGACATAAATAATTCATTGAAATTGTTATTTAGACAAAGAAATATTTAAGTTTAATTTGTACGATCGTAATTAAACTCTATAAATAAAAAGAAAGAAAATAACAAAAAGAAAAGAAAGTGAATGACGAAATCCGAGGCAAGTGAAAACAATTTCTCCTTAAGACAAAATTGCCCCACAATGGTACTAACGGTTTACGGCACTTGTCTTCCAAGATACATCGGATACAACTTGTGGTGGAAACACTTCAAACTACAAGCAATAACGTACTTTGGAAGAAAATTTTCCCTCTAGAAAATGTTTTTTGAAATGATTTATGGAGAGTATTTTGCAAGAGTTTTCGATGTAATGCTCAGTGCAAAATGATATGGAATGCATAATGGACGTCCAAAATGTCTTATTTATAGAAGATGAGGGATTGCGAGTGAAGTATCACGCTCCAAACTCAGCAACCTTCATGAAGTGAAGCATCACTTGCTGTTGCTAGCCAGTCGCTTGAGCGATAGACGAGTTATGGAGTTAGGCATTTATCTCATTCATCCGGAATTGATTTTGTGATTTCATATATATCACGATGATCGACTCGATGAGTAGAACAAATTATTCAATTTATATAAATATATAATTTGACTATCGGATCAAGTTCGAATATTTGATTAAAGTTGACACAGAGTCATTTTTTAAGTTATATACTTAACTAAATTTTTCATTCTCTAAACCAAATTTCAACAATAATCTATAAAAAGACTCACCAAATATAAATTTTTATCTCTTCGTTTAAATTACCTGGCTGTGGGCAACAATTGCATTAGTTTTATCTCTCAGTTTTCTCTCTGCTGCATTATTGCTTTAATTGGCTCATTATAAAGTTACAAATGTTGGAAATAAATGATTAATCAATAACCACTAGACATTCCCGAATCAATTTTTTATGCTTATAGAGAG